GCATGAAGTCAGGCTGATGGTATAGGCCCATAATTCCAGGGAGTGAAGTATGAGTCAGAATGTTTGCTAAGTCAGAGTTTGCCTGGGCTACAAGGTGAGTGAAAGGCCAGCCTGGGCAACTGAGGTGGAGCCAGTCTAAATTTCTTTTTGGAAAATTAAAAATAAAAATTTAGAAATGAAGACAACACATACGGGGCAGCCAGGTGGCCCAGCAGGTAAGGTATTTGCTACCAAGCCTGATGAACTGAGTGCCATCCTAGGGAAACATGTGGTAGACAGAGAAAACAGATTCCCACAAGTTATCCTCTGGCCTCCACATGTGTGCCATGCATTTTTGTATGCATACATACACACAGCCACAGACATGTAAATAAATGTAATAAAAATAAACTTTAAGCTGGGCATTGGTGGCGCATGTCTTCAATCCCAGCATTCAGGAGGCAGAGGCAGGTGGATCTCTTTGAGTTTGAGGCCAGCCTGGTCTACAGAGAGAGTTCCAGGACAGGCTCCAAAGCTACACAGAGAAACCCTGTCTTGAAAAACCAAAAACAACAACAGCAACAAAACTTTATTATTTACAGTTTTTTTTCTTTGTAACAAAAAGGGAAGTCCAGATTTGTGGCAGAGTGCTTGCCTAGCATGTCTCAGACCCTGTGTTCAAAAGAAAAACAGTCAAATAGATGGGCAGGACCTTGGGCGTCTCCATCAGTGAGCCAGGACCACAGGATTGGGAAGGAGGCTGCCCCTGTCTGCTTCTTAGACTTCTGGACAGCCCAGCATCACCATCTACCCCGATTTTATTGCATTCTACACAGGGACGAAGTGAGCTCCTCCATGCACTCTCTTGTGTTGTGTTTTTCCTAGACAGGGTTTCTCTGCGTAGCCCTGACTGTCCTGGAACTTACTATATAGACCAGGTTGACCTCGAAATCACAGAGATCTGTCTGCCTCTGCTTTCTGTGTGCTGGCATTAAAGGTGTGAGCCACCATGCCTGGCACTCTTATATTTTACAATGAATGTTTTTCTTTCTTTTGCCAGTCGTGTGTGTGTGTGTGTGTGTGTGTGTGTGTGTGTGTGTGTGTGTGTGTGTCTGTCTGTCTGTCTGTCTGTCTGTCTGTCTGTGTGTCTGTGTATGTGTTTCTGTGTGTGAGTGTTTGAGACAGGGTCTCACTATGTAGCCCTAGTTGTCCTGGCACTCAGTATGTAGACCCAATCCTGCATATCCTTTTAGGTCCAGTTCCTAATTCTAGAATACCTAGAGCACAAAACATAGCTCACAGGAGTGTGTTGTAGCGGCTGCAGCTTTTGACCTCTTTTAGCACTGTCGGCATCTTGCCCAAGTTTCCAGCTGTAACTGAGAGCTCCTTGAGGCCCTGAGATTGTGTCTTGCATGTGTCTGCCTTCCTAGCGTAGTGCATGGTGTATTGCATGTGCTTACTACACGAGGGGAACAAAATGTCTTCAAACATTTGTGGCTGAAACATTAAATTCTCAGAAAAATATACTTTAGATTGGTGTGGACTGAAACTGCTAGATTAACAAAGAAGATGTGTGGGCTTCCTGGGATTCCCAGAGGACTTCTCCCCACAATGCTAGCACCCTTTCAGAAAGGAGAGCCCCTCTTCAGAGCCGCATGTCACAACTGTAGCAAAAGGCTGAAATGGAAAAGAATCGCCCTCTTTCTTTGGCCAGTCAAAGGGAAGCACACAAGGTCTGGACACTGAGGAAGCCTTGTGGACAGAGCTACACGGATGGTAGGAGATAGTGGGGGAACATGGACTTCAAGACCTAACTACCGTGGTTAAGAGCTCTGAGGGCATCTGACTCCGCCACAGGCAACTTGGGCCCCAAGACTAGTTGCTGACAGCATCTCTATCCAGGCCAACAGCTCTACTTTGTGTTGGGCAGAGGGAAAATGGCTGGGCTCTGAGAGAAGACCTTACCTCTCCCAAGGCTGGTGGAAGCTTGGCTTTAGCTTCTGTCTGTTCTGAGCTCTTTCTCGTAGGCGTCTGGAGGGAACACACAGATGGGTCTGGCTGATGGGACTGGCTGAGTTGGAGGGAGGTTTGTGTTATGTGGCTCTCCTCCTGGGGGAGGTCCTGCCATCACTTTCAATATGCAATATTCATGCTTGAAGATCTCATGATACTGGACCTTTGTTTTTTTTTTTTTTTTTTTTTTTTTTTTTTTTTTTTTCTGAGACAGGGTCTCTCTGTGTAGCCCCTGCTGTCCCGGAACTCGCTCTGTAGACCAGGCTGGCCTTGAAATCACAGAGATCCACCTACTTCTGCCTCCCAGGTGCTGGCATCAAAGGCATGTGCCACCACCGCCTGGCTTTATTTGTTTATTCTTGAGACAGGGTCTTACTATGTAGCCCTAACTGACCTGGAATTCACTCTGTAGACCAGGCTAGCCTCAAGCTTACAGAGATCCATCTGCCTCTGCCTCCTGAAGGCTGGGATTAAAGCCAGGGGTTTGGTGAGGCAGCTCAGCAATTAAGAGCACTGGCGGCTCTTGCAGAGGACCTTGGTGCTGTCCGTAGCACCCACACGGTGGCTGGTAACTGTCTAACTCCAGCTCCAGGGCATCCAGTGCCCTCTTGTGGACTCCACAGGCATTGCATGCACACAAAGTACTGACATACATTTGGGCAAAACACCCATTCACAGAAAATAAGAATAAAATATTTTTTTAAATTTTTATTTATCTATTATGTATACAGTGTTCTATCTGCATGTATGCCTGTACACCAGAAGAGAGCACCAGATGTCATTATAGATGGTTGTGAGCCATCATGTGGTTGCTGGAAATTGAACTGAGGACCTCTAGAAGAGCTGCTAGTGCTCTTAACCTCTGAGCCCTCTCTCCAGCCCCAAGAATAAAATATTTTTTTAAAAAATTCAAAACTAGATGTGGTAGTTTATACTTGTTGTTCCATGAGGCTGAGACAAGAGGATTTCTGGAAGTACAGGGAAGCCTGGGGTGCAGTGGGAGACCCTGTCTCAAAACAAGACTAGGATCTGCTGAGATAGCTCAGTGAATAAAGGCACATGCCACAGCCTGATAGGCTGTGTTCAATCCCCAGGACCCTTATGGTGGAAGGAGAAAACCAGCTCCTACAAGCTGTTCACCACATGCATGCCATGGTTTGCTTATACCCCAGTACACAAGTAAATGAAATAATACATTTTATTAGTTTATTATTTTGTGTGTATAAGTGTTTGGCCTGCATGTATGTATGTACCATACCACTTACATACCTGGTCCCCACAGAGATCAGGCGAGGGTGTCAAATTCCTTGGAACTGAAGTTACAGGCGGCTGTGAGCTGCTGCCATGTGGGTGTTGGGAACTGAACCTGGGTCCTTTGGGAGAGCAGCTGGTACTCTTAACTACTGAGCCATTTCTCCAGTTCCAATTTTTAAAAAGTAAAAAATAAACCAAGGCTGGGAATGTAGTTGAGAGAATGTTTTCCTAGTATGCATGAAGCCTTAGGTTCAATCCACAGTGCCCAATAAAGCCAGGCATGGTAGTTGACATCTGTCATTGAAATCCTTGGAGGTAGAGGAGGAAGGTTGGGATACTAGACAGTCTTTGGCTCTGTGTGGCTCGGGCTTGGTTTAAACTCATATGATCCTCTTATTACCCTCCTGCTCAGTCTCCTGAGAGCTGGACTAAGTCCCATAATGTGTGGCCTGCCACCCCATGCTTGTGCTTTGCTACTGCCAGCGCCTAGGGTGGCCCAGATTACCTCCATGGGCATCACTGTTTCTAGCCCTGAAGTCAGTTCCACAGTTCTCACCACTCACTGCCCTCCCAGTCCGTGCACAACTCTCCAAGGGCCATTGCTAATATGTTACACATGCAAAGACCTTCAGTGACTCACTTCCTGCAGTTAGGCACAAGCTCTTTGCTGACATTTAAGGTCCTTTGTGGTCGGGCTCCAAATCTTTCCTGTGCTCATCTCTTACCCTCCTCTTCATGTCCCTGAGGTTTCAACCCAAATGCACAACCATCTGGTCCCTTTTTGGCCCTGTGTGTTTTCCTGCAGTTTAAAATCTGAACTCCAGAGTTCTTATTGCACTACGGCTATAGCCAGGTGATACCCCCGATTTTCAGTACGGCCACTACGTGGCTCGGCCTCTCCCTGTCCTTCTATCCCATCTGTGTAGAACCAGAGCAGCTAAAGGGTGGAGCCCCCGCCTTGCTATTTACTGGACAAGCTGCTGGAATGGGTTCTTCCACTGTAAAACAGACAGCAACCCCTTATAAGGTCTCTAAAGAATTAACAAATAATCTCTTCCTAAGGATAATTCTGTCATTTGCATTCTCACCTCACCCTCTGCTGGGCTGCCCTGCTCCTTAGCTACAAGGATTTACTTAGGAAGCCCCTCATTCTCCCAGGTTCTAGCATGCTGCATATGGTGGGTTGGGGGCCTGGCTTGCCAGCATTCAGGTAGCTGAACTAAATGTCTAGAGGTGAGGAGAGCTGCTGCCTCTGCTCTCTTTGTTCAAACTCATGGCTCTGGCAGCAGCAGGCGTGGGTGTCCCCAGAGGAGGCAGTGACAGCTTCAGTTCTCACACGGGCTTTGCAGGTGACAGCTGGAGCTGTGGGGCCCTGCCAGGGAAGGCACAAGCCCACCCTAACCTGCTCCAGCTAATGGGCATCCCTGAGGGACATAATCTCCACCTTGAGCCAACCCAAGTCAAAGCTGGGTGACTCTGGAGCTAAAGGTGGCCGCCCCAGCTGCTCCCTGTAGGATAAAGTAGGACAAAAGTTGGGACCCAGAACTGAAGCCTAGGACTCTGGTATCACTGAGTGTTTCTCTCCAGACCTGCTGTCTCATTGTTGAGGGCTTGCCCCAGGGCCAAGTCAGTTGTGGGTCTTTCCTAATGATGTCTCAGCCCCCCCCCCCCCGAGTTTTCCTGCCTGTAACAGGAGCTTTCCCTCACAACTCTTTCTCTGGAACTACCAGAACAGAAAGCCAAGATGAACATAGTGAATAGAAAAAAAATTTTATTGGAAGGGGAAAGGAGGGTCCCTTGCTGGTGCCTCCTAGGCCCTGGCCAAAGGGGTTGCCAGCACTCAGCTCTACTTTAGGACATCTAAAAGGCAGAGAGTCTGCCCACACCTTAACTTCAATAACCTTAAAGGGAGGGAGCGTGCCATAGTAGAATGGTAAGTCAGAGTCCAATCTCAAGAATAACTTCCAGGCCCTTTCCTTTAAGAACTTCTTAAGGGCCAAGTGGGCCTGGGCGGCGGATCAGAGAACATTTTCAGTTATCTCTGGAAGAGTCATCTCTGGGTTTTTACCTTTAAAACTTGCTTAAAGGTAAGGCATGTTCAGAATACCAAGGAGGTCAACTCCATCCAGGAGGCTACAAAGCACTTTTCCGGTTCCAGTGTTTTTGGAGTCTCTTGCCAGGAGAGGTGGTCTCTTGTGAGTTAATGATAATAAAAAATACCTTGCAGCACGGATTTCTTCCCTGACTCGCAGGTCTTGAGGCGCTGTAGGTGGTCAGCAGTTCAGACCCGGCGTGGAGGCGGTGGGGGGACCAGCCACCCGGCCCCGCCTCCCGCTCACACCAGGGCATCCTGGGAATTTTTGGTTTCCTAGACGGACAGGAGTAGGGCGAGGGGGCGAGCGGAGGGCACGGTGTCCATGGCGACGGCAGTGGCCATGGCGACCGCGGCTCAGAGCACGGAAAGGTCGTGGCACGACCTGGAGCGTTGCTTGAAGAACTTGGCGTTGCGCGGCACCAGGTTGGCGAGGAAGCGTTTGGCCTTCTTG